CACTCTGATCCCCCGCCACATGAGCTATTTGGAATATTCCCTTCATCCCATGAGTAAAAAGGACTTACAGTTTTAAATGCTTAAGGTTTTGTTTAGGGGAAATTGGAAACCCACGTGAGGTGAGCAAACCAGAAGACACAGAGCACAGCCCTTCAACACTTCAGCGTGCCCCAACTTACAGGCGCTCCTCAGTCTCCCCCAAGGCACAGCTGTGTATAGACAATGCCCTATTCCACCTCCATGCTTGGGAGAAAGCCGTTACCTAATTACTCTCCGCCGGAGCAGTTAGCAGTCTAATTGTCATCCACTTTAAGGCAATCTGAAATCATAGCTTACTATTCCCTGTAAATGTCTCAAGTTCTTTCTGGAGAACCTGTATTTGACCTAAAACACGGTTGACTGAGAGAGGAAAAAAAAAAAACTTTAATCATCCAAATGCCCGGATTCTTCCTTTGCACAACCATGACACAACATTATTAAGCAACTCGAGTTCCTCCCCACTGAGTGCGTGACAAGGGGGTGCCCTTCTTACCCCTAACCTGAGCATCTTTCTTAACAAAGATGTAAGTGTTCAAATGAAAGTCTGTTTAAAGAGTCTTTTTTGTTTCTTACTCACTCCTTTATTTATCACAGTTTCACTGAGGTATGATCTGCATTCCAAAAAACCCAAAGGCATGAGAGAGTTTTAGGGATAATGAATATTCTAAAACTGATTGTACTAGTGGTTGCAAAAATCTATCAATTTACTAAAAAACACTGCATTATACACTCAAAATCAGTATCAAGGAGTCACCAAAGATTCTGAGCATGGGTTTCTTCTCCAATGAGCCCAAGAAAGACATGTTTTCAATCTTTTGTCCCTGCTGAGATGTAAATTAGGGTCTAGAAGATGTTACCTTCAAAGACTATCTCTCTGTAGTTACCAAGGAAGTGTCAAGATTCAAAGTTGGATAAATCAGCTTTTGCTTGTAAGGAATTTAAAATGAAATTAGGAACAAAAATTTACAAAGAAATTTACAATGAAATTAGGAACAAAAGCTGTATACTGCTGAAAGCAATGTCATTTAGAAATGTGTACACAGACAAAGCCTTGTATTTGAACTTAATGCACATTAAGTGAGGGCCCTTATACGTGACTATGGGACTCCTCCACAGCCTTGTGCACACAGGGAACAGGCATCGCAACTGAATTTCTGCCGCCAAGCACAGAACCCACCGGGACTTGAAGTTCAGTAAGAGTAATAAATGTAATAAATGTAAGAGTAAATGAATTTAATAGTTATTATGTAATAATTATTTTCTGTATGATCATTTCAAACCTCCTGAAATGCTGCTAGGAAAAAAAGATATTAAATATTGACTTTTGTAATAAACCAAAACAATGCAGTCAGTGTGAAATAAACTAAATAAACAAGAAAAAATAGCAAAGAATTAAGATATAAAATACTTGTTTTAAAAAGGACAAGAAAAATAAAACAAAAGAGAGATAAGCAAGGAATGGACAGGAATAGGAAATAGAAGAGAGGAAAGAGAAAAATCAAAAGACAGAAACCATTTTTTCCTCCACCTGGGAAGTTAGAACTCCTTACCCAAGGAGCTCACAGAGGGACAGGTATCAATTCACAGAGCTCTTATACTTGACGGACACCACAAAGGTTATCTGACATTCTAATGTGAGATACAGGAACTATTCATCAGAATAAAAAATAATAAAACGTGACCTATACATAAATAGTGCCCAAAACGTGGCAAAACACAGAACAGCAAGGGTATGTAAGAAAATGAATAGGCCACTGTTGCCTGAGGCCTGAACTCCGTCACCAGCCTCTAGCGTCTCCCAGCTGAGCCCACGCTCCTAAGCAGGCTGGCTCCCATTTCCTCAGCTCAAACACTGAAGCTCCCTAGAGAGCAGGCAGCCACTGGCGGCTCCCAATCCCCGGACCTCACGCCGTCTTTCCCCCCTGCCTCTTACGGCGACCATCGCTGTGCTCCCCCACACACACTCCCTACAGTGTCTGCCAAGCTACACCTCCTGCATTTCCACAAAAATGCACGTGGCTGGCCTTCCTCTTGTCACTGTTCACACTGTCACTCTGTCTGGAACGCCCATCATGCCCAGATCATACCCATTCTCCAAAGCAAGTGCAAGTGCCACCTGCATACTTCCCTGGTCCTGCAGAGAAGGAATGTGTCCTGCATGTGGGCCCCACATCACGGCCCCTGCACCCTGCCAAGGCCCTTGCTTCTCTCCAGCTTGCGCTCCTGCACGCTACACACATGCGCACACACGGCTGACTCGTCAAGGCGGGGACACGCAAATCAAAGGGAAGAAGTTAATAGTATCGTATTTCTTCACTACTATCATTTCCTAAATACCTGCTCTGCATTTAATCCTCAAAACAACTAGCAGCTCACAGAATACTCATTTCAATTCCCTTTTCTCCCTTAAGATTCTTAAAATAACTAGAAATAAGAAATACAACAATTGAAAAAAAAAAAACCCACAATGACTACTTTGAAAAAAGAGGTGAGACATAGAAGAATTAGTAAATAGAAAATATATCAAAAAAAATTAACCAGAACACCAATTTTTATAGGATCATATATATCAATTCATTATATTTATAACAGACCTCAAAAGTTCTTCAAACTTTCTTCATTAATTATATACATTTATATAAAAAATTTTAGTTCTTTTTTAACAAAAACAAAGGTGAAAAAAGAGAATGAGAAAATTAAAGGCAATCCAAGAGACTCAACACCTACCTAACAGACATGCCAGAGAGAAAAGAGAAAGCAGAGGAAGAAACAATCGAAGAAATATTTCATGAACTTGCCCAAAAGTAAGGATCCAAGTTGAAGAGCTAACACTGTGGATATAAAAATAACTACTCAAAGACAAAACATGGTCAAACTTCGTAATACTGGAGTCAAAAAAAAAAAAAATCTTAGCTTCCAGAAAAAGGGGGGGCTAAAAAAAAAAAGGTAGAGAGAAAAAGAAAAATGGATTTTAAACCAGAGTGGCATTAACATTCTCAAGAGCAACACTAGAAGCTAGAAGGCAATGGAGCAATACCTCCAACATTCTGCAGGAAAATTATTTCCAGCCTCCAATTCTATCCAACCAAATTATCAATTAAGCATGAAAATAGAATAAAGCCATTTTCAGACGTGCAAGGCCTTAATAGATATACCTCCCAGGTACCCTCCCTCAGGAAGAGGCTCACCAAAACAGTGAAATAAACCAAGAAAGAAAAAAGCATGGGGCCCAGGAAACAGGGGACTCAACAAAGGAGGAAGATGAAAGCTATCCCTAGGACGATGGCGAACTTTCCGCTACGCGGCTGGTTCAAATCCAAATTGAAGCAGGTCAGAAAGTTCTGAGAAAGACTTCTTCATGCTAAAACTTAAAAACCACCCAATGGATATGATATAGTAGTATATGATATACTAAAAAGAGATTTACACTATGGGGCGACCAAACATCCAATGAAAAGAAATCCTATTAAAAAGCACCTTAGGGAAGAGGAAACGGGAATGGCCAGTGACAGGAAAAGTCGCTCACCCTCATCTGCTGCTGGGGTCCCTCACCATTAATCAGGGAAATGTGAATTAAAGCCACATTGAGATACTCTTTTACACCTACAGATCAGTAAGCATTTAAAAGCATGACATCATGAATAGTGCTAATGAAAACATGAAGCAACAGAAAATGTCAGACACTGCTGATGGAATTGTAAATTGGAAGAACCATTCTGGAAAAGATACACTTACCCGACAAGTCGACACTCCCAGTTATACTTCCTGACAAACACTCTTGCACGTGTGTCAAGAAATGAACAATAATGTCTGCCACAGCACTATTGTTATAACCAAAAAAACAAAAAACAAAAAATAAAACTGGAAAGAAACCAAACTTTCATCTACAGGAAGATAAATGAATAAGCTGCAATAGAGCCATAAAATAACCGAACTAGAGAAGTATACCTCAAAAAGCAAACCTCAAACCAAAATATGTGTCTTCTCTGCGATTCCATTTACATAAAGTCAAATAGCAAAGCCAAATATGAGTAACTGGTAAAAACTATAAAGAAAGCAACAAAATGATTAACACAAAATTCAATACAGAGGTCATCTCCGGGGGGCCGGGGGAGGGGATCAGGGAAAGGCACAAAGGGGCCTTCAGTGAGGGGGCGCGTAGGAGTGGCGGTGGGAGTGTGTTCTTTTGTACTATAGAAACTTCATAAGAATAAAATTCTGAACAAAATACAAAGAACACTTATGATTAAACATCATGCATTTCAATGAAAAAGTCTTCAGTACACTGAGTCGGAAAGGACTTAACGAACAAAGTCTCAACATGCAGAGCTCAGCTAAGTTTGTCCAACTCACAATGTGATATTCCTCGCTCTTGGAGAACCAAAAAGGTTAGCTCCGCTAACTTATTAAAATATACATAACTTTTATTCTCGAATAACAAAGTGAAAGGGCACCAATCATTAAGTAGGAAACGCCCCACGTTTCGGTGACCCCAGCCGATGGGCACGTACAGGGAGAAGCGAGAGGCGCGCAGGCCAGGCCGAGGAGGCGCGGTGCAGCCGAGGCAGCCCGTCTGCCCGCCCGGGGGAGCCCTGTCCCCGCGTCTGTGCAGGCGCCCCCCCCCACCCCCGCGCGCAGGGTTTCAGCGCTCTCTCAGCACTGATGGGCGTGGGAAGTCAACCCGTTTCACGGATGAGATAAAGAAGATTCAGAAAGTTAGGAGAAGCTCCTCGGTGAGCACCCCGAGTGCCTGCCTGCCTGGCTCGGGGCCCAGCAGCCACGCAGATGAACAGGAATGCGAGTACAACAATATTACAGCTTTCTGAGGTAACTGCACAAGAGGGAAAAAGGAAGATGCCCAAAGAAGACATCACAATAAACAATGTCTCCTCTCTAAAACTGCGCCGTGATGCCCACCGCCGCCTAAGACTCCACCCCGTGGGAGAACAAGCGGCTGGTACCTGTGGCCGGGGTGGTAAACAGCGGTGCTGACTCCGCGGGGGTAGTGGCTGCTGAAGCTGAAAGCGTGGCTCTCCTGGTAGCTCTGGTTGGTCCCAACGCTAGGGTGAGAGGGTAAAAAAGAGATACAAACCGTTACACCACAGCGAGGTGCCGCGAAACACCCACTGCAGATAGGTTAAAAAGAAAGACACCACCAGATACTGCCAAGGATGTGAAGCAACCAGAAGCGGGATACGTTCCAGTGGGAATGTGACTGATACAAAAACCTTGTATCAGAAAAAGGTCTGGTCGCTTCTTATAAAAATCAACTACATCTACCCTATACCTCAGCAATTTCACTCAAAGATCCTGAACCAACAGAAATGAAAATGTATATCCATAAAGACTTGTACAAGAATGGTCAGAGCAGTTCTATTTGCAACAGCACAACACGGGAAGCTCAGAAGTCCATCAGGAGAAGAATGGATAAACAAATCACGAACACTGTCAACTGAATGCCTGTGACTGCCCCTCCCTCCCCACTATGGAATGCATGTTTCCGTCCTACCCAGAATTCGTATGTTGAAACTCTAATACTAATGCACTGGTATTTGCAGGTAATTAGGTCCTAAGGACGGAGCCCTCCCGAGTGGGACGGGCGCCCTAATGAGAAGAGGCCAGGGAGCTAGGAGGGAAAGTCAGTGGTCTGCAAGCCACAGGGAGGCGTGGACCGGACCAGCCGTGCGGGCACCCTGAACTCAGACTTCCAGCCTCCACAGCTGTGAGAAATAAATTTCTGTTGTTGAGAAGCCACACGGTTTATGGCATTTTGTTAGAGCAGCCCAAACTAAGACACATGAGATGTTCGTACAATGAAATACAAATCAACAATAAAAGGAATAAGCTACTGATACATCTCAAAATATGATGACTCTCAAAACATGCTGAAGAAGACTTAGAAGTCTGATTCCATTAATGAGAATTACTAGACCAGGCAAAACTAATCTATGATAGAAAAAAGCATAACCAGTAGTTGCTCTAGGACTGAATGTTACTGGAAAAGGGTACAAGGGAACTTTCTAGCAAGACAGTAATGTTCTGCATCTTGATAGGAGTTTGAACCAAGCAAGCACATGCATTTGTCCTAACTCACTGGCTGGTACATATAAGATCTGTGAGATTCACTGTATGCAAATTTTATCTCAAAAGAAAACTATAAGCAAATACTGAACTTTAATTAATGACAGGCATACTACAGTATTTAAGTACTAAGTCTGGAAGTGATTAAAAAAATAAGGTTGATTAATGGCTGGAGAGAGGGATGGATAGAAATGTGACATAAGAAGAACAGTAAAAATGCTAACAGAGCTTAAGTTGAAGTATATGACTTTTCACTTTACAATTCTTTCAAAGTTCCTATTCTATTTGCAATTTTTCATAATAAAATGCTGAAGAAGAAAAAGAAAACTGACACTAAGCCAGAGAAATAAACATTATTTTGTCAAGCAGGACTTCCCAAATAAAGTATTTTATTTTTACCTTACAAGGTAGCTTCTAAGCTCTCCTCGGTAATTGATGACTAAGAGTTCGGCAGACCACTGTGCACTTCCTTTATATTCTAAAAATATCAGCCCAGCAATGGCATAGCTCAAATCACCTACCAAACTAGATACCTGTAGAAGAGAGGGAAATTAAGTTACTAAAAAAAAAATAGACATTAGCAAGTGTATACCTGGAAGACATCCGAGACACTGAGAAGACAGCCCCAGAATCGATCTGTATACTGAAGAGTGAGGCAAATCGTAGTGCCCAGAAGCAGACACCCAAGTCTAGACCAGCCAGAGGCCTCTTTGAATGCGATATTCACCTAGACAAGTGAACTTACGTTCACTGGACTTCCATGGCAAAAAATTTTAAAAAGTAAGAAAATAAAACAGTAATGCCCCCATTCAGCCTCAAAGTTTCTAAGATACAGAATTCAGATACAAGCCTTCAAATGTTGATTTCTACTTCCAACAGTAACCAAAGCTAAAAAAATAAAATAAATAAAATTTTTTAAAAAGTCTCCAATTACCTTCCATTTGCCTCATCAGCAACTGTAAAGGAAATGATATTTAAAAATACTCAGTACCAACCTTTTTCCATCAACTAAGTATTGAGGGCATATTGCTAAGGATATAAAGGCACATGCACCTTGGAAAACACACAAAATGAATTTTATCATACTCAACGGCTCTTCATTACCTTGAACTATACAATAAAACACTGTAGCCGCATGTGTCTACTGAACACTTGATACATGGCCAATCCAAATTGATATACACTGTAAGGATAAAAATACACACCAAATTTCAAAGAAATCTGTATTGAAAAAATAAAATATTTCATTAATAATTTTATATTGATTACATAACAAAATCTGTATCAAAAAATAAAATATTTCATTAACAATTTTATAGTGATTGCATATCGATTACATGTTATATGTTATTGAATTAAACAAAATATATTAAATAAATTTCACCTTTTTTTAAACTCACCTTAATGCTACTAGGAAATTCAAAATTACATGTGATCATATATAGAGTTCATATTACATTTCTACAAGACAGTGCTAGTCTACAAAACAGTAATCCATACATCTTAGTTTGGTTCCCCAGGACTTCCATAATATGAGCACAAGGCACTTCTTCAAGTTCTTCACTCATTACTTCTGAACAAAAATCATTCTCTTGCCCTGGCTGGAGTCACTGGTTCGATTCCCAATCAGGGCACATGCCCGGGTTGCAGGCCAGGTCCCCAGTAGGGGGCGCGTGAGAAGCAACCACACACTGATGTTTTTCTTCCTCTCTTTCTCCTTCCTTTCCTCTCTAAATTTTTTTTAAATCCTCCTCTAGATCATTGGTTCTCATCCCTAGCTTCTCATTAGAATCAGCTCAGTAACTTGCAAACAATATTAACACCCAAAGCCCACTCAGATCAATTAAATCAGAAGTTCTGTGAGTGGGGCCTGAGCAATCCAGTAATTTCCCTTCTCTTTTCTTCCGAAAGCTCCCCAAGTGCTTCTAAGATGCAGCCAGAGTTAGAACCACTGTCCCACCTGGCCCTGTGCCTTGTTCATCTGAGGAGGAAAGACAAAAAGTATAAAGCACTGGATTCTTAGAGGAGACACTTGTTACCTGGGTTGCCATGGAGAACGTCCCTCTCAATTTCAGTTTTCTAAACTGTAAAATGAGGACAATACCTGCCCAATCTACTCAAAGGATGGTTGTGAATATTAAATAAGAATGTAGTATATCAAAATCGCTAACAAAACATAAAGCACTACACAAATACAAGTTACTACTACCATGAATTTTTTTCTCCACTCTCCCTTTCAATTTCTATCCCCTTCAGGGTAACAAACTCTAACTCTTCTCAAAGCTGTTCCTGTTGTGACAGCCCATGCCTCTCTTTCCCTCGCCGGAGGTCTGCAACAGCTTTCAGTGTCTCTTCTTAGCACTTACTTACTACCATGTTTTAGTAACGATGGATTGCATCTGGGGACTGCATTACAAAATACAAAGAATAAATAATTCCACGCATAGATATCTAACTAGATTCTCAGCATCTTAAGTTCACAATTTATTATTCAGCTTTATATTTCTATTTCCCCTCTCCTCACATTCATTCACTCAAGTACCTACACATAAAAAACATTCAAAAAATACGTTACTGGTTTAAGGCATGTACATACTGGCGCAATGACGAAGAGTTCACTTCCCATGAGATCAAACACCCGCACGGTGCCCGAGCTTTCCGCGTAGGCCAGCAGGGTACAATCGTAACTCCACGCGACACGTCTCCACTGGGGTTTGGGGTCTTTTGGAACTAGAATGAAAAGCAAAGAGAGCTTTTAACAACATATTATAAACACAGCTAACACTTACAGTTACTACAACTAAAGTCATCATCCCCTAAGGATCTCTCGTGCTTCAGTTCAACAGAAAGGAACAGTTCCCACGAAGCACTCTTCAAAGAAGGGTGGGAATATAAACCACAGCGAGCTCTGCCCACGTACTTGGGAAGCAAAGCCCACCAACGCCAGCGATCTGTGGAATGCTGAGCATGCCCTAGCCTGGGACAGGTTCAGGTATAATATACCTCAGATATTTATGCACTTAAGAGATTAGAAGCATAGAGAGAGAATAGGCAGAAAAATAATTCCATTCCAGTAAGTGCAGTTCCTCTAAAAACAAAAAATAAAAATTTCAACTGAGAGCTTTTAAATATATCAAATATAGATGTCAAGGAAATACAAAGCAGGATTATGCTGACAGTATTAGAAATATATATGTACATATATATAAAATATATATTATGCAGGTGAATCAAGTACTGTTCCTGGTCAATCACACAATTATAAAATTTTGATAATCTCCACCTTAACAATCCAACACCTGTATTTTTTTTCTCATTCGAATTTTTCAGTACAACAATAGAGAGAAAAGCCATCAGGGACCAAAGAAAGAGGGACTGAAAACTCAAAGCTGCGTTAGGTTTGCATGTTTTGTTTACTTCCATTTCTCCTGGCTAGAACCTCAGAACGGAAGAGACAGGTAGCCTTCCCTTTACCACCAAGAATCCCAAATGACTAGGGGACTTAAGGTGACGCCATGAGTCAAGGGCACATCAGAGCCTAGAACCTAAGCATCCTGCCTTCCCACACAGTGGGATCAGCCTTAAGATCGCCTCAGAAATGCTTGCGCGATTTACCACCTTCCCTCCACAGCTCTGCTAACAGCCCAGGTGAGGCTTCATCACCTCCTGCTTAGACTCTCCCCCGTCCCCCTTCCCACCTTCGGCCTCTTCCCCTCTGAGCCCTCCTCAATACCATCCAAAGACACTGTTCAAAAACAGAAAGGCGAACAGATCACAGCCTTCCGCTGCTTTAAGATCCCCGGTGGTTCTCCTCTTCCAGCAAAGTCCAAACTACTCCATCTACATCTGAGGGTCCTCATGACCAGTCCCATCAGAGCTGTGCAGTTCCGCCTCCCACCCCCTTCTCCACACATCTGATAACCCACCAATAACCCAACGACCTGGCAAATAAGCGAACTGGGCACACTAGAGTCCGCATCTTTCGTACACATTGCTGCCTCCACCTAGAATGTTCATCTCCTATATTATTCAAAGGGCTGCTTGTTACAACCTGTGGGGACAAACTGTTACCTCCTTCCGTGACACTATAAAAACTGCCTGCATTCCTCTGGGTACCCCAAGTATGCATACAAAAATCTTTCACAGCATTTATCACATCCTACTATGCTGTTTACATGGCTATTTCCCCACAAATTTCTGATCTCCCTGGAATCAAAGACACTGTCTTATTCAATATTGCCATCCTGGGACCTGAAATACGAAGTGATTAATGTCTAACTAATGGGTAAAGTCTAAGCCTCTCAGGAAAATCTATATTAACAAGGTAAGGTAGTGGTGAGGCTCAAGGACTAGCAAACAACTGAAAATGAATTACACAACTGAAGCCTACTCCCCACCTCATAGAAACACTGTAGATTTAGACTCTCCTCACCTCTGTAACACCTGTAATATACGTTCTGTACACAGGGAAAGTCTATCAGACGTCAGTTAGTTTCTTCATTTTTTACTATTTATCAACAGGTAAAAAGCCTGCAAAAGAGTCCACGACTCTCCCACACAGAGAAGTCCAGTGGATTTTATTAAAGCCTAAGAAGACACTGCATATGCTTCGGAAAAGGAATTTTTTTTAATGTTAATAAAATGGGCTAAAAAAAATGGGTTCTCTGCCTTCAGATAGCTTTAAAAAAATAATCAAACCTGGAGGTAGACATAGGCACAAAATGATAAACAACACAAGAATACAAGACCCGCATGAAAACACATGCTTCATAAATACCATCCGGAGGACAATTTTATGCCCTGAAAATATTCATGTGCTAGAGAAACATGGCAGCATTTTTCCATTATTACTGTTTAACTGTGATAACAGGCTTTTCCTCTTACTTCATTTTGATGGGATAAATAGATTTATGCACCACATCCTGTTATCTGTTCTGAAATAAATTCCATCTGAAGGGGATTTGTTTTTACTGTTACTCCTAGTTATAACCAGGAGCTCCAAAAAAAACTCAGCATGTGTTTTGAGCCAGATAAAGATTCGTTTTCATCACAAGGTAAGATTTTACATAACAACTGGAAAATAGAGACTTTACACCAGATTTTTCCAGCTGCCTATGTGGTTTTGGAGCGAAATGAACAGTACGGATGTTTACAAAGCACGTGTCAGTGAAGCTGTCTGAAAAGTATTCAAAGGGCTGGGGTAAAGGAGGCCAGCGTTCGACAAAGGCCCCGTTCCTGGTGGAACTGTTACACCTGCTCACATCCTGCTCTGGCTGCAGCCCCTCCACCTGCACGACCTGCCTGCTCCGCCCCGTCCCCCGCAGGGCTTTCCTCGGTCTTCCTTTGCCAGGACCGCTCTCCTGAAGTCTCTGGGCTCCTTGTCACCTTTCAGGGCTCAATTTAAATACCACTTCCTCAGGGGAGAGTCTTCAACACCCTGCCGAAGGAGCCTCGAAGCCCATTATTATCCTCCATTCCAATGATTTCCTGTCCTTCATGGGAAATCATTCACATGAAATAAAAATTCTACGTTTGTCTACTTTTCATTGCCTTCCTTATGCACTAAACAATAAATTCCAACGCGTCAGGCACTGTGCCCCTTTAGTTCGTAACCTGGTCACCGGGGCGCAGGACTCCGACCCACGACGGGTGCGGGAGTGCTGCAGGAACCCTTCTACCCCACCCGTGACCCGGCGCGGAATGGGAACTGCCGAGGGCTAACACGCGAGGGGCCCTGTCTGGGTGCTACTCTCAGCTCGGCCACAAAGCGACAGGGCCGGCTGTGGCCGTGGGGGGGTCTCCAAGGCACAGTTTCCTATTTTATAAAATGAAGGGCTCGATGAACAATCTAACACATTCTTTGACTTTTGTACCTTTTTTAAATTATACATTGTATTAGTTCCAGATGTACAGCATAGTGATTCAACCTTATGAAGTGATCACCATAATAAGTCTAGTCACTGCACAAAATTCTTACGGTATTACTACCTACACACCCCGCGGTGTGCACTCTCCCCCAGACTGACTTTATGACTAGAAGTTAGTATCTCTGAATCCCCTTCCCCTCTGGCAACCATCAGTTTGTTCTCTGTATCTAGGAATCTGTTTTCAGAGGGTATTGTGCTAAGTGAAATAAGTCAGACACAGACAGACAAATACTGTATGATTTCACTTACATGTGGAATCTTTTAAAAAAATTCTTTGACTTTAAAATCGAAAAGCAGTGAGCAGGAATAAACGAGGGCGGCTAGAAAAACAAGCAGAGAAACTAAATATTTAAATGACTGAAACAATGGTGTCAGTAGGAGAAAACTTTTACAATCCTAGAATAAGAAATAAACTAAGCATGACAAGAAACTCTGAAGTTATAAAGAAAAACTAAATGACATATGCAATTACAAAAGAAAAGCAAACCAAAATAGATACCATAACAAATTTAAAAAATGAATTTATTGGATAAAAATATATGACAAAGGTTAACATTCATGCTATGTAGAAATACTACAAACCAATAAGAAAAGTCAAGTATTCTAAGTGGAATATAGGCAAAAGGATATGATCTAACAATTCAAAAAATGAAAATAAACAGACACAGCATATGCTCTACCTAATAACTTATGATATGCAAAGTAAAACAGAGATACCCTTTCCCTTTGCCTGTGAACCAGATGAATATTTTAAAAACAAGTAACATAACGTGCTGTCAATGAAGAAATAACTTCAATTCTACCTTTTTCATGGTGGTACAAACAGGTATAAGTTTCAGGAAGGCATTATGGCGATAGCTATCATGTTTTGAAAACTACACCCACAGACACACAGAAGGTCATTCCCAGCACCATTAGAGAGGGAATAGGACAATGATGGGTAAGAGACGGAAGCAGAAAACAAGACACATAAACAGCCTAAACTGCCATCAACAGAATGAATAAAAACGTGGTTCCCATTCTTACAATGGAGAAGAATGCAAACTGAAAAAATAATCCTTTCTTCACTTTTGCTACTTCTGCACTGTTTCAATTTGTTATAAAATATTTATAACTTAAAAATAAAACAGAGGAACTAGATTCAGACTAGGCCTCCTACCATAGAAGAAAAATATGTCAAAGAACTGTTTTCAAGTGTTAGAGGAGAGGCAGAGAAAGTTCACAGTGACTGGGAGGCTTCTGCCAGGAACACGTTCTGGACCACAGGGCATGGGGTAGGACCTCACCCAGGGCGTGCAAGGCTCCGTGAACTGAGGAGACAAGACTGGAGTCTGGAGCTACTATGCTGGACTAGAATTTGCTGACACAGACAACAGAATGGTAGTTATTACCAAAGGGGAAAAGGGTGGGGGGAGAATGAAGAGGGTAAAGGAGTTAAATATAGGGAGACGCAAGGGGAGTAGGCTTTGGAGGGTGAGCACACAATGCAATATACAAATGATATATTATAGAACTGTACACCTGAAATGTGTATGTTATGAACCAGTGTTACACCGATAAATTTAATTAAATTTTAAAAAGAGATTTGGAAGGTATCATTCCAGATAAAACTGAGTGAGGCAGAAAAGCAACCTTAAGCTGTGGTATATTTACGCAATGGACTACCAGGCAGCTGTAAATAAGGAAAGGAATCTCACCTTTGCAACAGCAGGGATGGATCCGGACAGCATTAGGCTAAGTCAAATACGCCAGTGAGAGACGGGCACGTACCAAATGACTTCACCCATATGTGGGACTTTTTTA